TGTATCTTCCTGAACCGGGGTTAGCACACTTGCACAACTCTGTGATTCCTCATGTCGATTATGAAACTACTGTTTTAGCTTGTCACGAATGTTCTAAATCATTGCGAGAATTGGTAACTCTCGATCTTTCTTGAATAAAGCGTTAAGCGACTCTGCATTATTCGAAGTCATCATATTGTATCGACGTCCTGAAAAATGTGATCGTGCCCAATGGTCGATCCCCATCTCTGTTAGATACTCTCATGCAGCATGCGATTTACTATCTATTTTGGCCATGAACTTCTCAAACTCTTCAAAATTGTAAGCCTTTATAGCTCTCTTAAACAATGCAACGATGCCCTTGCCTCGATACCTGGTCTTCAGGTACCCCTGTATTAGTACATACAATAACCATGATGTGTCTCGGGGAAGACTTCGACGATATCATTTATTATTGACTACCCTCAATCGGTTACGAATGCAAGGTTTTCGACATCCCCAATTACTTCCCTCAACTTCGTGAAAAACCAACTCGTCGCTACATCATTTTCTCCGTCAACTATGTCGAACGCAAGAGGGTAAATTTGGATGTTTGCATCTTGGCATGTTGCAATAATCAACTTGCCCATGTATCTCGCCTTAAGGGTTGTACCGTCGACTAAGATTAGGGGTCGCATTGTGTTTTGAAATCCTCAAACGCATTGTCCAAGGGCATAAAAAAATATTTGAAACGATTATCGTCATTCTTCTCAATAAAAAATGACGACCTAGTATTAATTCTTCCCATATTATAGAAATACATGGCCAATGTAAATAAAAATAATCATAATTTATAAAATCTATTAAATATTAAATGAATAGAAAAATAAACAATTCAATTAAATAATTAATTATATATTAAATAAACAATTGAAATAAAATAGTTAAAAATTAAAATAACAAAGAAATAAACACATAAACAATGAAATGCCTAGCTAATTTAGCATAACTCTCCTTGGTCGAACCCATCAAATCCTCCAATGCACATTCTTTAGCCTTCCAAGCCTTCTGATAATTCATGACCACTCCGTACTCTCGCCGAACGTCATTAATTTTGTCTGAAGGTCTGTAGATCGTTCGTGAGTCCTGGAACTTGTGCATTATTTCTCAACCAATGAGCTATGATCAGGCCTGCCTATGATCATTTCGACGAATACCCACTTCGCAAGTATGTTCCCGTGCATACTTACGGACTACAAAGAAGTCATTCGTGTCCATGTTCGTCGCTCACAAACGTCAATGACAACTGTTGTCAATGCAGATAATTGTGTACGACTTGTTTGATTTCTTTAATTTAAACTCGAAGTTATGCTTAAAACAATCCGGTGCACAGCTTCTTGCAATTCTTTTTTGATTCGAATAGTTGCTCGGCATATACATCTTCATCATCAACTACACGCGAAAAATTAGAGGACCGTGTACTCGGTTCGACCTGTGAGCTCCCACCCGACTCATGTCTCCTACGGGATAAAGCAATCAAATCCTCGTTTGTAAATGCGTTTTCATTCTCGTTGTCTTCAACTATAGATGAAATTTTGTGCGTAATAGTGTGATCATGGAGAGTAGTAGTGGTCTCGGGAATAACCACATCATCTTCATGAACAATCTGAATTGTATCCCAAACATCATTTACATTATGATTCTCTTCATTTGAAACTTTATGTTCACCCTCGTGGACATTCTTCCCTAATAAAGTTACCCAAATAGGAATCGACTTTCGACCTTAGTTCAATTTAATTAGATGTTTTATTTTCACTTCAGAAGTAACTTTCATAGGTGGAATTGGAATGGTTGAATGCTTATGAAACAAAAATCCCAATTTCATATTATACTGAGAGGGAGTGACGTTAAGCATGTTTTTGTATATCATGATACATTTATGCAAACGATGTACTCCTTGTAATAAAAATTGTTTTAACCCCATCTCCTCTACTCGTTCATTTTCATTCCCACTGAGTATTTTCATTTATTTGAAATTTACCGAAGTAACAAATTGGGACACATACTGATGTCATATCTGCCACAAATTAAAATATCAGAAAATAGATTAAATATAAGGAATTAATATATAATTTTTTAAATTGTTCATTTCATATTTAATTTAATTTTATACTCAAAATAATTCATTGATTATTTTAATTGTTTCAAAAATATTTATTTCAATTAGTATTAAATATTCATTAATATTTATTTCAATAAACAATATACATTAAATATGAACAAATAAATTATAAAATCTGAAAAAAATGTGTCCCGAACAGCCGGCTGAAAAGGTTGAAATTTTTTATTTTCTTCATTTTTCAACGAAATAATGTTTAAATATTTATTTTACAGACAACTATGAATTTTTTTCTGTAAAATATGTGCATACAGAGATGATTTTTTTCTTTTTTGCTATAAAAAATTATACATCTGTGTTTAATACTGTAATAATTCATCTGCCTTTGTCAAAATAAGATTTAAAGATTCAAAAAGTATACTAATTTAACTAAAACGAAATTAAAAATACGTATTTATACTTACCAATTTTCAGTGCCGACTGTGAGTAATGTTTTTTTGTTGAACATTTGATAATTTTGTGAGATTTCAATATTCTAGCAGATGGAAGAGAAGATTTCTTTTTAACTGTATTAGAGAAAATGATAAGTAAAACTGATTTTGAAATTTACGTGTAGAAGTGATTGAATTTATTTAAACTTCTAAGGTATTATTGTCTTGTAAAGAATTAACATATTTTTATAATTGTGGAATATAATAAGAGCACAATTATCTTTTTCAACACAAGAGACCAATGTGGTGAATGCAAAAAAAATAAAAATAAATAAAAAATAAAAAACATGGTCGAAGTGCAAAACTTGTTCTTTGACTCCAATTTGAAAAGTAATCACTAATTTATAATTTATAAAAGATATTGGTGACGGGGATAGTGTTCAATGTTAAACAACACATACCATTTGAGTAAGCTTTCTGTAAACGAGAATTGCGAGATAAAATGAACAATTTAAAATAAAGAGTAATGCTATTTACAATCGTTCATTATCGTAGTCATTCATGTGACGATTAGTGATTTGACATATTAATGTGATAATTTTTTATTATCTTATGCAATAAATTACTAATTGTCACTTGTATCATGCAGGGTAACTGCGATAACGAGTGATTGCAAATAACATTATAATAAAATAAAATACACTTGAGTGGTTATTTTTCAACAAATTAATGATAAAGAACTAAATTGAAATAAGATCCAAATTCGGGGGGCCAGTTAGTGTATCGCCTAACTATAAAGTATAAACCTCCCCAAACCTTTCCGACACCGTATCCTTCACCAGAGTTCGACAACCGACTCGCCCAAAATGCCACCCAAATCGGAAACCCATGCCTCCTCAGCCACCACCGGCGGCACCACCGCCCAATTCGATCCTGCATCTGACTCCATCGATCTGATGTTTCACATCTTAAAGGCCCTCCCTTTCTCCTTCCTTCGCCCGCCCCGCCTGCGGCTGAAGCTTCCCACCTTCACTCTCCCCTCTGCCATGACTGTGTACTCCCTCATCCTTCTCACCTACTTCATGGTCGTCTCCGGGATCGTGTACGACGTCATTGTGGAACCCCCTGGCATAGGCTCCACCCAGGACCGGTTTACTGGAGCGGTCAAACCCGTAGTCTTCCTCCCCGGTCGGGTCAACGGGCAGTACATTATTGAGGGCTTATCTTCTGGGTTCATGTTTGTTCTCGGTGGTGTTGGGATAGTGCTATTGGATCTGGCCCTTGACAAGAACCGCGCCAAGAGCGTCAAGGTGTCGTATGCATCGGCTGGGGTTGCATCTGTGGTGATTTCGTATGTCATGAGTATGCTCTTTGTTCGGATTAAGATCCCAGGGTATCTCCGCTGAGTTACTTTCACATTCTATGTCTTGCCTTTTCTGTTAGGAATTTGATAAATCAAGTTTTTCTGTTCTGATTTCTAAGTGTAACGAGTCTTTTGATTAATTCAACACCTACCCGTTAGACATATGAGTCGGAAGAAAATGAATTAACTATGGGACATTGGTGATTATATGCTATATTGTGTTATTGTTGATTGTTGGATGTTTTAAAGAATTGACGTTTAGGTGATGGATTTCACTGTAAATGGTAACACTTTGTTGGTCAGAGCAAATGGGATTCTCCAGATGTTAGGATGATCAGTTTTGCCTTTTTGTAATGAAACTTTGGTTTGTCTGTGTTGGCATCACACTTGACTTTCATGGCTTCATTGTATGGTGAAGGCTTTCTTGGGTAGATTAACTTCTCTTATCTGAATACTGTTTTTGTTTTGGATTAGATGTGTGATCTGTCATATGAAGCTTGCAAATGTGTGTAGGTAAAATAAATTTGGATTTAGATTAAGTAAAATGAACTATATGTAGGAGACATGAACTTTCTATTTGGGGAATCTAATGGAGTTTTAGAATCACTCCAAGAAATGCCTTAATGTCAAATTATGGTAATCTGAAATTAGACTCATTCTTTATTGCATTTGATATCCTCTTTGGCCATGTATATTTCTTGTACAGAGAGAGAGGCAGTATACCACGCGAGTCATTTTTTCTTTTGGTTACCATGCCAAGCTAGATGTTAGGAAATTTGCTCTTTAGCATTTTTGCAAAGGTCCTGCATTAGTTGGATTTCGATCATGTAATTCTACTTCCCCTATTCTAAACTCCGTTTGACTCATTTAAATAATGCAAAGATCCATTATGTTACTGTTTTGGTGGAAAAGATTTGGACAGAAGGTGTGGATCAGATGGGAAACTATATGCTTGCCAAAATATCATGGAGGTTTGGGCTTTTATGACCTTGGAATGATCAACCTAGCTGTTCTAGCGAAAACAATAATGGAGGTTACTGAATGAATTCTTCTCTTGAACATAAAATCACAAAAGAAATTATCATGGACATGACAGTTTTCTCAGGGCATAAGATTCTGTGTGCTACTCTTTTCTAAATAAGCGTTCTTTCAGTTTGAGTCACTCAGGGCCACTGAGGTGAGTACTCAATCGTAAACTTTGAGGCCCCGTAAGATTAGTCAAGGTGCACGTAATTTGACCTGGACACCCATGGTCTTTAAAAAATAAACAGAAGTGTTCGTTGGGGACGAGAGCTTTTATTAAAGGGATTGACGTGAAGAGAGAGTAATGGGATGTCGACCCATGACTTCCATGCTCTTTACTTTTAAACATGTAATAGTTCCGTATGGAAGGCTGAGAAGTTTATGAGAGAATTCTGTAGCTAGAATATGGCTAAGATTGCTGTTTTGCTGATTGTAGGGAAGATATCATCAATTCAACTAAGTGTCAACGCTTGAGAGGACAAACTTAAATGGCACCGCAACGTGAGGAAAATAAATAGTACGAAGTTCTTATAAATGTTAAATTGGTAAAGTTGGTCTAAGCTCATATGCCATTCTGAATTTGGTGAAAATAGGTGTGGAATCTATGATGAGAATCATGGAGGGAAAGCTAACGAGGATCCATTGCATGCTCTGGATTGATACGTATCAATTAGAAGAAAAGATCATAAACCATTTAGAAAATGGAAGGAATATGAAGTATGTGCAAAAACGTATAGGATTTACAAAAAATGCATATAACTTTTTGTTTGGTTGTTGGATTTTTGGCCATAACTTTTTGTTCGGATGTACAAAACCTGTGCAGAATCGAAAGACATTCTTGGATTGTACTCATGGTTGAAAATTCGACAATCTAAGTAAAAAGTTTTACGCATTTTTTATGCATCCTGTACGATTTTGCACATACTTCATATTCATTCTATTTTCTAATTGATTTAGGATCTTATCTTCTAATTGATCCAATCAATCGGAAACATGCAATGGATCCTTGTTAGCTTGCCCTCCATGATTCTCATCAATCTACCTATACCTCCAAAGTTGCATCTCTTCTTTGAAGGATTTCCCACAAGGCCTTACCTATCAATTACAATTTCGCTAAAGTGGAAGGTGACTCTGGAGGGATGATTGGTACTCTTGGTGGGGAAGAGTGGAGATGATTGAACATGCCCTCTTAATTTCTTCTAAGGTGAAAGATTTCTAGATATGTATGGTTGCAGCAGCGTAGGCACATACGTATGGTTGGTTCCTCATTGGAAGATGTCGAAGCTCTTAATCTAAGGGATGGTCATGACTAGTAAGAATTTAAGCCGAATGTGATGTTCTGAGGTTTCTTTAAAGGTAGGAATCTGATTGCACATTAGCA